GGTGAGTGATTTCCCTCATCCTCATAGTTAGAGCCGACCTGTGACAAAGAAGCTGTCACAGGTTGGCTCTATCGATTGGGAAGTGAGCAGAAACATGCAATAGCCCGTGATATACTGAGCTTTGGGTCATGGGAGGAGGTTAGTATATGTCCTCCCATGACCCTAAAGAGAACTATGGGGAAATACACTTACCCATAGTTCTCTTTTAATACACCTAATGCCTTTTACGTAAACGCTAGATAATTGCACTTTTTGTTTTAACAGGCCAGTATAAAGGAAAATACGTGGTGGAAAAGAAGCACTTTTGGGGTTAACCAATAACTATTTGCATATTCTTTTTTGTGTCTCATGTCACAGGGGGTGTGTCCTATGCCTATATACTTTGTAGTACAAGGTGTCTGTCTTTTTAGTCTCAGAATGGTGGGAGGTATGGTTCATCTTCTCCAGGGTTCTATGTTGTTTATCAAGGTGGGGGAGGCTATCAAGAGGCTCATCTCTTTATGTCCCATATCTATACAGTCCTATCATACTGCATTGTGGTTACAGGAAACTTAGGTCCCATTCACACTTGGGAATGGGATCAGATTACAGATTCTCATGAATTCCTCCGTGAGACTCTTGATCTGCTGCAGGTAGGAGGCGCAGTACAATGCAATGTCTGCTGCCACCACCGGCAGATGTTTGCAGGATGTTCACATGTAATTGCACATGCTGCGATTACCTGCAGACGGCCGCACCTGGATGCAGACTGTTAGCAAACAGAATACAAACAGTCCAATCCATGGCCTGTGAACAGTCTGATTCATGTGTGGACAAATGAATGCAGAGTTCTGTAGCCCCTCAGTCAAAGGTAGGCAAACAAGGCAACTTTGGCTCAATATGGCCTTGATAGGATAGGGAACCTAAGCTGAATAACATGGGCAAATTTTAAAGTGGAACATCAAGGGTTGGATGGGTAGTCAAGAGCTACAGAACTGCAGAGTTTGCAGAGGCATGATGTCAACTTCATGCCTGAAAGCCTATGCTTTGCTCGATCTTGCAGATGATACTGGTGTCATGTCCTCTGCCCAGTGCTGTCATGGGCACTTATTGGCACCACAGGGAGTGATATCAGGGCCCCAGTAGGCCTAAGTCAAAGTGTTTCAGCACAGGCCCAGGAATTTGTAATGTAAAGAATGCTAAAAAAAAAAAAAAAAAAGGGCCGGAGACCTCCAAGGTTTGAGGCTTGGAGTGGTTGAGTATGTCACCAATCTTACCAAATGATTCATTATATAGGGCCATTAAATTGGTGCAGTTGTATATAAAGTGCTGTATGACACTTACGGGTATGCCACAGCTCTAGTTACAAATGTATTACTGGTCATATTTTGAAATGTCAGGTGGCATGATGTAAATATGCAGAAATTTGAGGTCCTTTTGCCTTTCCATGAATCCCCTACTTCCTTTCAACAAATAGTTTGAAGCAGAAAGTCATTTTAGCACAACAAGTGAATTAGCTCACACTTCTACTGACAGATGATAGAAAGCCAGTACCTACATGTTCCTTGTAGCATTTTGACACATCTGAACATAACATATACAGCTGTTGTAGTGTTCTTTACTGCACTACACCATCATAATTGCTCCTCACAACTCATCTGTATGATTTTGATTCTCTGATGGGCTTTGGTGCCTGGTTGGCTTTTGTCAGCCTTATAATAACTGTTGTAATAGCTTTAACGTTTCAGCAGTGTAAATCTTGGTCTAACAAATTTTACTTTAAGCAAGGCCACAGCATTTACACCTTGACTACCTTTAAAATATAAGCATAACATGTGGGGCGAAGTTACTGAAGCTTCAATATCATTAGAGATTTTACACTCAGCAGAGCAAGGAAGAAAATTGCTAATGCAATGTGTAGATGTGCAGAGGATAAGTCTGGGTAGCAGATAATCTATCACATATATCCAGCGCTGTGCTGTAGAGCAGCTTTTCCCAATCTTTTTTTTTCTCGGCACCCTTTAAACATAGGCAAAATCTTGAGTCTACAAATGCAAATGATTAATGCAAATGTAAAAAAATGACATGTGGCCCCTCCAAAATCTTTACCAGAACCTTATCTCAGGTAGAGGTCTGTTGTGGATTTTAAGGGGGGCTGCCATGCAAAAGCTAAATGGTGTTCCCCCTTAAAATCAGAGCCCCTCTTTTCACATCAGAGTCCCCTAATGTAAAATCAGGAGCCCCTCACTTTACATTAGGTGCCCCCTCCTTTCACATCAGTCCCCCCTCACACTAGGAGTCCCTTTCACCTCAGGAACCCTATTCACATTAGAAGTCCCACTTCATATCAGAGCACCCTTTTATATCGGAGCCCACCACCTTTATATTATAGTTCCCTTTCACATAAGCAGGCCCCTTCATATCAGAAGCTTCCTGCACATCAAAGTCCTCTGTCCCACCTTCACACCCTTCCTACCATCAAACCAGGAGCTGCAGTTGTGGAAGCATTGCAGAGGGTGAGATGCAAACCGGGCCTGGACGGAGGCAATCTTCCGTCCTCATCTGAATGGATCCCACCCTGGAATAGCGTCATTCGTTTCCTTGGTGCTGGTGGCTTGCCTGTACCATGGAAAAGCATGACATTGTGCGAACATTTCAAAGCACGTGAGGAAGCCAGAAGGCATCCCAGGGCGCCATGAAACCCTGGTTGAGAGAGGCTGGTATGAAGTAATTTGTACAGTGATGGGTAGGACCCTTGTTATCCTGTGGTGAAGAAAGTATATGTTGGGTATCGTTTTACTCGTTGTAACCTCATCTTTTATATTTCATTAAAAAAATGGGTAATTTGTTGTGTTTTGGGGCATTTAATTAAATTTGTCACTAAATTTTGGGGTTTAATAAGGAGTTGCGCTAATATTGCGCAACATAAAAATTTTCAACTACCACCATTTTATTCTATAGGGTCTTGGCATTCAGAAAATATATAATGTTGGGGGGTTTTACGTCATTTTCAGGCCTAAAATGTGGAATATAACATGGGTGCAAAAATGGAAAAAAGGGCCTCAGTCATGAAGGGGTTAAACCAACAATGAGAATGTGCAGCGGAACAGTGGTTAGTTCAATCTATTTACTGTGCGACAGTACACACAGATTTTAAGGAGGAACTCTGATAAATGAAGCCCAGAATGTGGGAATCTGTAGTGATAATTTAGAAATCAACTTTTGATGGACTAGAATGCACAGGCTGCTAAAGGTAGTTTATTTGACTGCTGTGAGCTATTGTGTTCTGTATATAATTCGTGATTACAGAGGTATCTCCTAGACTCTTTTTTGAATCTTGACTTGGCTTTGCACACATATCATTTGAGGTGTTGTGTTCATAATTCCCGATAACCTAAAGAGAACCAGTTATGGCTTGGCTTGTTCAAGAATGTTTGTCCTTACATTTTTATTATTTTAAAGTTATTAGCCACCATATTTAGATCCTTTGCTTCTGTTTGACTATTTAGCTTGGATCATGGGGGGTGAAAGGCTACCTGAAGATTAACAGTTAGGTAAATGTTCAATGAGAAAGACTGTAAAATTATTATTGTAAAGGACTAAATATTCATATCCTTGCATAAGCTTGTTTGTAAATGGATCTTTTGAGCTGTCATTAACAGAAGCGGAGTGGTTAGCCAGCATTACAGCAAATCAGCCATGGCAAATCCATCGGGTGATTGGTCAAATTAGGAGTGCAGCCAGGGCTAGCAGGAAACATATATTTTCCAAAGAAGAGTCCTGCAACCTCATGATGATGCTTTTTATATGTATGTTTTATATATTTTTATGTATTTTTCCCTCTGGCTCATTCAGTTGTATGAGTCATTTCAGCTTGAGTTATACAACTCTGTAAACAACAAGCTTTTCCAGAGTGGGGGATAGGATTAGCTTGATAAACATGTACATAGGACACTGAGAACTCCACTTGCTGACTAGAAATAAATATGGAATGTTTATATGCAATATACTTGCTATTTACCTTACTAAACACTTTTGAAAAAAAGGAGGGAAAATATTTTTCTCATAGTAAGAAGAAACCTGACCACTGAGAAGCTGACTCGAGTATAAGCCGAGGATGGCACTTTTCAGCAGAAAAAATGGGCTGAAAAACTCGGCTTATACTCGAGTATATACGGTATATAAAAAAAATCAGAATGTCTTTCCTCAATCTGGCATGTTATAGTAGTTTAGTATGTGACACTTTGACCTCCTTGGCAGCCTTAACATGGAGGGTTTAATCTGTGTGCTGCGGTTTACACCCACAAAAGCATCCTTCAAATTGTCTTCCACCCAAAATTAGCCTTAGTTTGTATGTTATTTGTGTTACTGTGGAGGGACATTAGATGGAGATCTTAATTTAGAGTCAAGAATTATCTTTATGGAATAAGGATGAACTCCAGCCAACAACAACAAGAAAAAAATGAATAGCCAATTAAAAAATAAGATAAAACCCGCTTTTGCTCCACAATTAGCCTTCAATCCAGAGCTCTCCTTCATAATACTTCTGTTCTGCCAGGAGATGTCCTCCAAGTGATGGCCAGCATTATCCAATCCACTTCCTCTGTGCCCAGGTGGACCAACCACAAGTCTGTGACTGGATAGTAAAAAGAAAGGCAGCACAGTGATGGGCTCATCTTCAGGCACTTCTCCTATCAGCATGCTCCTTATTAGCACATGAGCTGATTAGCTCCTTGTACTGCTTCTTCCACTCACATTTCAGCCCTGATGTACAGGGACTGCAAAAGGCCGATACCAGGTCAAATTCAGGTACTTATACTGCTTTCATTTAAGAACACATTTCATGATGTTTGAATTATTAGAGCTGCATTAATTTGTGTCTTTTATATCTGCCTAGAGTTCAGATTTAAGTATTCTTTGTAAAATGTTCAATGGCATGTATATGCAGGATAAGAGATGTTTCACTAATGCAAAATAAGTGTATATATAGAAGTCACACTATTGTTTTCTGATTTTTCCAGGTACCTGCAGAATTGGATGGGCCTACTATTGTACTGGTGGAGGAGCTGCAGCTGCAATGTTAATCTGCACATGGCTGTCATGTTTCTCTGGGAAGAAGCAAAAGCAATATCCATATTAACCACATATGAGGTCCATCATGGAAGTATCTTGGAGGAATACAATTCTATTGTTTGAACTGAGCTGTGGAACTTGCCACCCAAACTGCTGCCATCAGGATTATTATATTAAGCTTTTTTCAACTTTGCAGCCAAGATCTCTACCTTCTGAATTGTCTCCAGTGGATAAGATGCAATGTAATAGTAATGGACACGTGTTTGGTCTCCACTGCAGTAGTCCTGGGTGTGGATCATCTACTGCAGAAATCCTACCATGTTATTCAGAGGACATAGATAATGGTCTTTTATTGGTGCAAGCAAGCTCTCATAACTAACCCATGTAGACGGACTGTTCTTCGATGTATAGCCTTCAGGTATTTAACGACCATGTGGAAGTAGAGGGCTGCATACATTTTGAGCTCTTGTAAGATAGACTGGATAGTGGAGGTACTGCTGTAATTATAATGTAGGTACAGTTTTGTAGGTATCTGTGGCACAACCTCCCTTAATAACCAGTCTGTCTCAGCGTAGTTGAAGTCAGATATTGGCTTGAACATTATACAGCCCCCTACTCTCCTATAAAAGCTAGGTCCCATGTATACCAACGTGTTGCAATTGTGCTACAATGCATGTTCACAGCACCCCAAAACCACGGGGAGAAATAGTTTACGTTATAATCTATGAAGTTCTTAACATTAGTGTGTTGCTTTATAGTACAGTGGAGGGTTCTTTTGAAAAATGCACAGTACAGTGTGTAAAACACATCTTTCATTGTGTTTTCCAACGCACTGTTGTAAACAGGCTATAAATCTTTGAACGAGGCTTCTTCTTGAGTCTCCTCTTTGCTGGAGAACTTATTTTACCAATATATACTGTATCATGTGTACATATGTCTTGCAATGTACGGAGAGCCTCTTGCAACCAACATGGTAACATAACGCTTCCATTGGTGCAATAAGTGGAAAGAGACAAGCTTCTGTAAATCAGAGCTGGGTCCAGTGGGGCCATAGGCCAGTCTGCAGCTGCTCTGTACCCCGTTGCTAACCCTGTGTGGGTGTTTTAAATTTTTTACTAAAAAGTAATCCCTTTTACCTTCAAAATTACATCAAAGGGTTTCTTTTTAAAGTGCACAACGTTTGAGAGGTCCGTCTAAAATCTATTTCTGTTTTATTTTGAAGAGAAACCTTTCCCAGTCTTCCATTGTTAAGTCCTATGTAGAGTAAAAACGGCAAATCCTCTTTCAGAATGAAAGAAATCACATGCCCTTCAAAGGCTTAACCTTCCCTTTACTCTGCCGTGTCCTTTTGGCTTCTCTGGAAGTTAAGTTAGCTGTGTAAAGTTGCAAGGAGGTGGATCACACAAATGTCGGACTGATGATAGCTATTTCACAGAACTATTTTTTCCTCTATTAAACAGCATGGGCACTGAGGAAGTTTACCTGGGAGAATATCCGTTCTGTTTATTGCTTCCCTCTGTGTTGCCAAATAATCCAAACACGAGAGGCGATTCATTTTCAGTATTATTTTTCCATTGTTGCATATATTTGTGTATAATATTAGTTGGACCAATAATCTCCATTTATATTGTCTTCTGTTACGTGTATATGCACCTATACAAACATGTATCGCTTTGCTACGTTCTTGGTGTTTTATTTTAACTTGCACACTTTTTGTGTATTCTTCATAGCACAGTTATTTTATATGATCATGTTATGCAATAACCTGACATGGTACCAGTGGAATTTCACTAAACTTCTTTTCTCAAGTCATCGGTTATTCACATAAACTGCTAATTTTTTACCTTTATTATTCATTGCTCCAGAAAAGTGGTGGCCGGGAACACCATAGGCTCCCAAACGAAGCAATTAGATCCCAACCTATTTTGTAGGTGTGAAAGGGAAACTCAGAATATGATTGGTTACCTTGGCGAGAACTCCAGTTTTCCTTTCCACCCTTTTCATGGAATGACTCTGGTCGAAATCATACTTTGCATTTTAGTTATCTGCTGGTTTTTAATGCTATGTTTTGTTTATTATCATTTTTAAACAACAGAAACGATTACAAGGTAAGGTTTGTATTAAAGTATGTAAATATACAAGGTTCTTTTACTTTTGGTTTGTAGATTAAACAATAAAGTACATATGGTACTTTTTTAAATAAATGTTGTGTTTATTTTTAGATATCCTATCATATATTACACTTAATACATTATACTCACAATCATGTTTCAATGGCTGTGACCTTTTGAGACACCTAAAATTGTACAAAGGTGAACTTAGGGTTCACAAGCACTTTAATTGTACAGACCTTTCTGATGACATCTTGAGACAAATAGATATTTTTGCATATTGAGGCAATGAGACAAGGTGTAAATCTGGTGAAGAAGCATCTGTACTGATATACATTTCCCAGCCATGATCCACCATTGTCACTATCAGTAAACCGGTCTTGTATTGTAATTGTATTTTAAGAAAAAAATGGCAATTGTTTAAGATACACAGTGCTTAACCAAGCTAAATGTCATCCAGATGTTGGGAAAGACTCTGGAAAACTCCTGTATGCGAGCATGAGAGGACAGATACTCTTAGGAAGAGTGAAGAGGATGGATTGGGTGACATTTTGAGACAAGGTTGGTGATTTAGCTTGAGGTAGACTTGTGGATCGCTATAGTTATAATATTTCCCTCTATTATAGCATGGGGGAAGGAATGTCCATCTTCTGAGACATTTAGCTCTTTGCAGTCTGCAGTGGTATATATAAAATATTTAGTGCAATATTCCATAATTAGTTATTTCAAATTAAAAAGGAAATGTTTTGAAATGTTTATTTTTTAGTATTAAACATAATAAAGAAAACATTATACACAAAAGCACCATACAATCCTTTTATAATATTTGTATAGGCATGACTCAAATTTACCCCCTAACATCCCTCTCCGCCTCTAGAGCATGCCCCAGCATTTATTTTCCTTTTACCTTGTTCCTGTACAATGGAAAGGCTTTTATTTCCTCTAGAATTCTTGCAGGGGCAGATGTTTCCTACCCCTCTAGAACTACGCACTATGTCTGAAAGATTACAAGTTAGTTGTCTGTACATATGAACACACAGGGTTATTCACTAAGCTGCCGAAGGATCTAGCCGTAGCTCCGGCTGATCCTTCAGCTAGCTTTGGCCCCAGGACCCCTTCGGTTCAGTAGCTATTCACTATAGCCCGTACAGCTCCCGAAGTTGGTCGAGCGGCTCAGTCGAGCCGAAGGCATATGCCTCGGCTCGAAGTGAGCCGCGGTGAAAGCCGAAGCTGGCCGAATGGCCGGCCATTGACCGGCCCACAGCCTGCTTCTGACAGCTGGGCGGAGCCAGCCGTCATCTCATGGCTTGCTCCGACCACTTTCAGAGAGATCAGCGTCCCTGGTTACTAGCTAACCAGGGATGCTGTCATTACATACTGAGAGCGGCCTCTCCGTGTTCTCAGTGTGTAATGACAGATGGCGTTTCTGGTTACCTGGTAACCAGGAACGCCATCTGATATTACTCTCCCGGACGCTCTGGGAGTCTAATACGGCTCCCGGCCGCCCAGGAGAGAAACACTTACTCCCAGAAACCCTGCTCGGTTTTTTTTTTTCCTGACATCGAAGCCGTTGGCTGCCGTCAGAATAAAAAAAAAAATCACCATAGGAATGCATAGCTTGTTTCCTATTGACTATTTCAATTTGCAATAGCCAATAGCAAACTAGCTATTGCACCCGCCCACTGCTGCTATCAATCAGCAGAGCGGGACCTGAAGTTCTCCAGCAGGTCCCCCTCTGGTGATTGACAGCAGCATGGAATCTAGCTATGCATTCCAATGGTGTGTTCTCTTTTTTTTTTTTGACGGCAGCAGAACTGCCCGGCCAATAGAAAACAGTTGGGCGGAGCTAGCTGTCACTGCTAGCTCCGCACAATAGTTTTCTAATTTTTTTTTCTACTTTTTTAACAATTTTTCGAATTCTGCTCGGTACCACAGAGGGACCGGTCAGAACAGCCAAGCCGAATGCCGCTCAGCAGGCTACTCGCTGCTGTTCGGTCTATTCTTATAGATGCCAAACAGCAGTGAGTAGCCTGCCGGAGGTTCGGCTTAGCCGATCCAGATGTTGGATCGGCTGAGTTGAACTCCTTCTGCACTTCGGGTCAGCCGAAAATGCAGAGCATGTTCGGCTGACCCGAAGCCACCCGATGTACGGCTGATTTCAGCCGATATACGGCTGGAATCAGCCGTACCAGCCTGAAGTGAATAGCCGAACAGCGTTTGGCTCACTTCGCTTGGGGTCGGTTAGTCACTCGGCTGCCTACGGCAGCTTAGTGAATGGACCCCAGTAGGATTGAAAAGTGTTTTTACATACATTTTCTTAAAACATTTCAGGCTATCTATTTGTTTCGCACTTCCAGCTATTGGCTGATTTTTTTGTTGTTGCCTGTTTTATCCTGCTTTTCTGTTTACAGATCTCTGGGCTTATTCACACCGAATGTGGTGCGTTCCAGAGCGGTGAAAGCGATGCCATTGAATTCAATGCACCGCCACGCCCCGTCCCGCCACCAAAACGCAAGGGGAAGTTTTGTGAGCGATTATGGTGTATTCCAGCAGCTACCGCTCTGGAACGTACCGCATTTGGTGTGAACAAGCCCTCAGTAGTGTGTGTGTGTGTGTCCCGGGGTTAACTGAATGGAGAATTAGAGAAAGATTGTCTGAAAGTGAACGGTTTCTGCTGTACCCCATAACCTACAATGCTCTGTGACACCTGTGTCTTGGGTATGCCCAAAATATTATTTGTATAGAAAAACCTCAGTTGAAAAACTTATTAAATTAAAAAAATATATATAGTTGACACATAACCATTATAGCCTCCCTTTAAAAATGCCTGAAGTCTCCACCTTGCTGTACAGACATTGTAATGTTCACAATACATGCATTTCTTTGCCAGTGTGTCAGGAACAGCAATTACCTTGTCTGTACAGCACCAGCTAGCTCCCTTTATGTGGCATGGCGAGAACATAATGCCCAATTTAAAATAATGAAGATCAAATACTGTCAGCCCCTGTCTGAGGCTCTTTACTCACAGGTCCCCAGCAAGTTGTTTTTACAGGTATAGCTTGCTGTTTGTATTACAGGACACTAATTGTCAGTGAAAGTCGCACAATAAAAAGGGTATTCTTTCTTAACAGCCAGATGGGTTTTAATCAGTTATTTTTTGTTTGTTTTTTTCTTAAAGCAAAGTGTGCTGTACTTTTATATAAGAGGGCCTAGCACTGCATCTGATAGATATAACATTTCCCTCTATTTTTGCATGGGGAGGGGTGTTCATCATTTGAGGCATTCAGATCTTTATGGTCTCTATTT